CCTAAAGGGGACGAGCACTTCGTTCCCCTAAAGGGGACGGAGTCCCCTAAAGGGGACGGAGTCCCCTAAAGGGGAAGAAGGGGGGTTCCCCTTTGGGGAAGAAAACGAAGGGGGTTCCCCTTTGGTTCCCCTAAAGGGGACGAAGACTTTGGGGTTCCCCTTTGGGGAAGACTTCATCCCCGAAGGGGAAGAAGAGCACTAAAGGGGATGAAGACAACCCTTTATCCCGTAGGGTAACCAGAGGGGCAAGGGTTCCCTTCGGTTCCCCGTAGGTACGAGCCCAAAGGGGTCTTCGCCCCACAGCGCTACGTATATTCTCGAAGGGTAACCATACTATGTAGTTTATTCTCGAAGGGTAACCATACTATGTAGTTAGCAGAACTACAAGGAAGCCTTTTCCCCCTTAAGCTATTTGTAAACAATTCAATGTAGTTTAACAATATTCATGCGACAAGTGCTACCTAACGGCCAAAAAAAACAACGTTATATTGTCTTTTATTTTTTTATTTATTTTTTATGGCAATGCGTACACCTGAAGAACTAAGTAATCTTATTAAAGATTTAATTGAACAATACACACCAGAAGTTAAAATGGTAGATTTTGGTATCGTTTTCCAAGTTGGTGACGGTATTGCACGTATTTATGGTTTAGAAAAAGCAATGTCAGGTGAATTACTTGAATTTGAAGACGGTACCCTGGGTATTGCTCTTAACTTAGAAGCAAACAACGTAGGTGCTGTTCAGCAAAGCCTAAACTGCATAAGCTTGCGATTCACCGAACGTGGGATAAACATTGTGATGTGCAGGAGCACCTCCTTCCTGCCCGCTTGCTCGGCCGCCAGCCCCATCCAATGCTTATACATCGCCATGTGGATTCCTGGTTGCTTGCCGTCTGACGGATACACGTCAGGCTGGGCATCTAAACGCGTATGCTTCCAACCACTCATTAATCGGGCGTTGCAGTATGTAAATCAACGGCCATCATCACATGGCCGAGGGGGCTGAGCCCGAGCTGTCTAACAAGCCAGCACCCGGGGGTGGTCTCGTGCCAAAAGAGCAGGTTAGGCTTGTGTGCAAGCTAAAAGCTTGCTGGCACTGCCTTGCAACAGACCACCTGGTGGATGAGTGCCCCTGGTGGCGGGGCCAGGGTGGTGTTAGGGGCGCAGTAGGTGCAAACAGGCGGATGGACGCCTAGGAACCTGCCCTGCTTCTGTCAGCTGTGCAGGGACAGGGAAGAGAAGTGTGGAAACTGAACGGCAACAGGGACGCTGGCGCACCATTGGTAGATGGTACCCAGGAAGTTTGAGACGAAATTCAAGTGTCTGCAGAGTCGTGCACCGGTTTCACCAGCATTGACAACTCTTGAGACTCTTATTGGACGCCCGTCCGCTTGTGATGCCTATGCCACGGACTGCGGCACAGGATCGGCTTGTAAAGCATATGTTTGTCCTGGACGCCCTTTCCTCCATACTTGACATCGGCGGCCACGTGGTGCTGTTAACACCCACCCGAGCCTGATATTGCCACGTATTTGGCACGCTATTGTACCTGCACACACATGCAGCCTGATGCATGTATAATTCTCCTGGCTGGGATGAGCACAGATATTATCAGGGTTCTTCACGCTGATTCGGGTCCGAACATTTTTGAGATTTTTCCGTTTTGCCCGAAAGGAAAATTAGTGCGCCCCGGAGCATCCCGAACGGATTTTGGGCCCTTTGAAGCCTTTCTTCGGGGGCCCCACCGAAGCCTCCCATAGGCACTTTCAGAGAAAGCCGAACGATATTAAGCGTAAATTTGCATGTTTTCGGGCGCAGATGCAGTATAAGGCCGCTTGGTCACCAGTCAAACAACAAGTACAACTGTGCATCGCACACATTTTATACACCTAAGCATTCCATAATTAAGCACGCTTCTACTCCTGCTGCTAACGCAGGCTGCTGAACATCTTTCTGTGAACAATGACTGTGAACCCTATGCCCCGGACTGGAAGTTGGCTAACGAACTACGGCGAGGTCAGGAGCACCATAACTATTGCTTTTCTTGATAGCAAAAAATTTGCGCAAAGCGGGCATACCATGGTAGATGGAAACTGTGACTGCCGGACAGAGGTCACACATTTACATAATGCCAAATGAACGGGCGACAGAGCCCACGAGCCTGCATAGCTGAAGAAGCGTTATTGCTTTAACTAGTTTAGCAAAAGGCTTCACGCGCGGGCACCTCTGACTTCGACCTTGCCGATGATGATGACAGGACTTCTCGCTTCGTACCCGTCCAAAAACACCGAAACGCATGGGATTGTTGTGGAATATAGCACATGGAAGACATTGCGTGGTCGACCAGAAGGGCGCGCATGATGCCCCGGTCCGCGCTTTATGGGCCTCCAGGAGCCCCAGAACGAATAGTCTAGGATCAATCCATTGCAGCTGGGCTGGCGGTCATGGAAGTGCTCGGCCGACGGACTCATCGAGATGGGCGCGGCCTGCGCCGCCGAGCAGATTGCCAGGGCTGCGCCCTGGCTGGACGCGGCCCTCGGATGCAAGGCGCCGGAGCACGCATGGGAGCTGGATGGCTTTCAGACTGCCGGTCATGGGAACCCGGGAGGCGTGCTGTTGGTGCGGTGCAAACCAGGGCTCTCGGGTGACCGGAGGCATCAGCCGAGATGGATGGGTGCACCACCAATTGATATATACACAGGGACGAATCCTAATCGGGGCGCTCGGCAGTACTCCCCCTGGAGCAAGCAGGTTCAACTTCTGCGGTCCTGTTCCTGTCGTCATCCTCCCACAAAGACTCCCCCGCAATTCTTGTACATCACAGCACAATCCTAGACCGGCTGGATTTGAGGAAGAGAGCTGGAAGAGCTTGCCGCACTCCCGCGGCTTACCCTCGCGCCCTGTTGGTAGGATACGGCGAGGCAACAAAAAAGTTTAGAAGGCGCCTGTTATCTACTGCGTTTGCATCCCAATCTGTGAAGGTTATCCACTTTCTGTGCTGTCACTGACATAGTGACAGGGCGACGGTGGATGAAACCGGTACAGTAGCACTATACCACGTAAGAGCAGTGTAAGAGTACGCAATTGCAGGAAAGAGCCGTTTTTAAGAGTGAAAGGGAGGCGAGCAGTCGCAGTAGTACAGCCCGTTCATTGGTTTGCATTCGATAAGGTTGCTGCAAACAAACGTTTTGTCAACCGACAGTTTTGCGTCGTTACTATGAAAGTAGCAAGAAAACTAACCAGCAATCATTGTAATACACTGCACGTAAGGAGTTCGTGAAGTTGCTAGCGCTCTTTTGCCACTCGGCAAGCCCTAACCGCCTGTTTGCCTTCGATGTCAACGAACTTGACGGTTTGCAGGAGTCTAAGATGGCCTTGCACCCTGCCTTGGGAGCAGGGCCGCAACACGTGGGAGTGGCCGTGGGCTGGAATGCGTCAGTGGGTCCACTTGTTTCCACTCTTACGGTTTTGGGTAAAATCCTTGCCTGAACGATGGCTCCCAGGCGCCATGTTCCAATATAGAGTCAACATTATGTCAAACGCCTGTTAATTCAGCCGTCCTGGCATTTTACGATAGAATCCAGCTAAATCTTACCCCGAAAACTGCTTCAGACAGTTTCGGAGTGCCCAAAATAACTGTCAGGCTGACATGAAAAATTACGGGGAGGGCCCCGATAGGTTATTCAGAGGGCTTCGGGCACGACGGAAATTTTTGTGTACCCTGGTGTCAGATGTGATTGCAGGGATGCGATGCATTAAACAATACCCAGTGGATACGACCCTCTTCCATACAGCAAGTTGCCAAGCCCACAGGTTTCTGCTGCCCGGGATCAAAGAACCTGTTGAGGTTTGGTATGATCCCTCTTGCGACAAGATTGTCTCGAAGTGTGCAGCAGTCGAAAACTAAACACCTGGTGGCCTGTTCTGTTGGACACAGGGTGACGCAAAACTTTGTAAGCCAAGCGCTCGTGAACGTGTTAGGGCTCTTTGTACGGCCTGCCGCATTTCTTCGAGTATTGTTGACAGATGGCGGAAGTGCACCCATCCTAGGACAAGCCGTGCTTCGGTTGAAGCTAGGTCCGATCCGGATAAATCTTCCAGCGATAGTGCTGTCAGCACTAGCATCGGCAGCTGATGTGATTGTGGGCATCGATTCCCTCGAACGGTATGGTGCTGACATGAACCTAGGAAAGAATACCTTGACCATCTAGAAGGGAGGGTTCTGGTATATGATGAGGTTCATCCTGAAAAACCTCCACCATTTTGCGGGCTGAGTAGCCTGAGCGACTGAAACATTACATGATGGCCAAGGCTGATTGCCTGCCATCAATCATAAGGGTGCAAAACGGGTGGTATGGAAGGTGCGCATCCATTGATGATATGTCCATGCCGCACAGCTGAAGCAGGGGTCCGCACAGCAGCTGAGCGAATGGAGCATGTATATGCTTGCGGTTGGCTTTTAACCAACCTATCCCAGCCAAAGCAGGGAGCCGTGCGTTCGAAATAACCAAACGACCACAAATTCCCAGGCCTTCAATAAAGGGGCGGCATAGCATACACCCTGTGGGAGCCGGGCAGGCATAAGTACCCAAGGCCGCCTATTCCAAGTCAACAGCAAGATTGGAGCCAGCGACTGAAAGCAGGGGGCGCATCCAGGGAACCACTGGTCTTGGCCGTGCACAACCTCGTTTCTGAGCGTTGTTTTCTCTTTCGTGGACTCAGCTGAGAGTGTGATTGAAGCCTGCACTGTGGGCCCATTCCTGGAAGATCACCAATTTACGATACAGGTTTGTAAGTTTTCTCAGGGCCAATCACCGATTGCTGTAATGCACGGCAATGTTTAAGCAGCCCCTTCGCACAATTGTGTCCGGTCGTAGCAGCTGTGTCCACAACCGAAAGCTGTCAGCCAGGGTCCCATCCCCATCCCTTGCCAGCTACAAACCTACTCCTTACGTTTACACAGGTGCTGTAATATCGGCTTTCTCTTTAGGCGTAAATCAGGGGCATTGACCAGGGTTATTTTCTATTTCCGCGAGGTATTTTCTCTAGCTCTATGGCTTATTTCCTCTAGCGTCAAATTCCGCCCGGCTGTGTTCGTTCCGAAGCAGACTGAAGCGACAAACGCTCGTTGAAGCGGATCTCGACTGAGGAGGAACTCGCATCACAGAGATCTACGTATCTAATTGCACACTGGCTGCTAGTGCAAATAGCGCGTCCTAAGGGGGAAGGATTGTTATGTTCGATAGACGGCCACAACAACAAATTATAATGCTGTGCTTAGAATGGCAGAACATACAAGGGTGTTCTGTCAAAAAGTCCATGGCTGGGAACGTGCTGATGATGGCGAAGGAACGGGTGCACCATTGGTTCACCCATAGCATAGGTCTTCAGCTGCACAGTCCGGCGCCAACATTCCACGTTGGGTGCGCCAAAGCGCTACGACAAACAACCTGATAACATTACATTAAGCCAGACAGTCCAATTGGAATGCTTTTGAGTCGACTTGGACATCTGCGCAAGAATTGCTCCTATGCACTAATGTGCAGAGATACGTGGAGTTGTGCCACAACAAAACAATGAAGACTGCAAATTTTCTCAGAGTTGTGCATACTGGCTTGGGAATGCGGTGCGGCATAATGCGGCCAGCATCTTCGCGCCTTGCAACTTCAGCTCAGTTTGCATGAATATAACCAATAAAACATCACAGTACTAGAGAAGCAGTTTGTTTGAGGAAGTACATGAAAGCTGAACAACTAACTCCAGAGTGGGCCTCACTTTGAGCCAGGACCCCCAAAGTGGCTTGCTGTTGATAACGGCTTGTTGGCTTAGATGCGACGGAGCGAAGCGACCGGAGCTTCTAAGGCTGGTTCTGTGGTGCTGTCGTACAACTGGGTCGCAGTGGCGACTTCATTCTTGCTGCTCTCCTGGTGAAGTCATTCTGCCTTCACGCAGAAGAGCATACAGCCTTGTCCAACTAGTCAGCGTGACAGGCTGTACTTGGACCCCCAAACCGGCTTGCTGTTGATAACGTCTTGCATGTTGATACGCCTCCTGTGGACTTGTCCCCCAGTAGGGTCTGCAGATTGCATACAGATTTCGTTCGGGTCTTATTCAAAGTGTCCCAAACTTCGTCTTGGAAGACGCCCACATTGTTAAGCGCAAGCTAGTAACAGCCCGACGACCGTTTGTTATCTCTTCCAGAATGGCACCCGATGGTGCCCTGGATGTGGATGTGCATGGGCCGGACAAGGTAAGAACGGGGTTGGACTGCGTCTGACTGAAGAACTGCGTGTGTGTGTGTGTTACATGGTTGGGGGTGCGTGACCCCATACCTGTAAGACTACCCATACGAGCCGAGGGCCCAAGGGCAATACTACAACGCCTAAAAGCCACGGAGAAAAAGGAAAAAACACCGCACATCAGCCCAGACTAACGTCCAAAGGGGGTAATTGAGTTTCGGTGAGCCCACATACGTTCCAACATCCTCGCCAGACGTGCGGGTTCCCATTGCATGGCCTCCAACATACTCTGTTGATGATCGAATCCCTCTTCAGCACGAATATCATTATAGGCTGGGCATTCCAATAACACGTGTTTTTCATCCTCAATTCGGCTATTAGGACCACAACAGTGGCAAAACCGCTGCCCCCTGGGGACATGGTACTTGCCCCTTCGTGCTCTGTTCGCCTCCAAAGCCCAGCAACATAAACGAAACTGCATTAGCTTACGATGTGCTAAACCTTAGGAATGAAAACCTTAGCATGTGTTGGCCACATGACGGCTGCGGCTCCCGAAAAGGGCAGCCCCATCCAGTGCTTATACTTCGCCATTTGCACTCCCGGTTGCTTCCCATCTGATGGGTACTCCTCTGGCAAGACAGTCAGACGCGTATGGTCCCAGCCGCTCATCAAACGCTCTCTTAGTGCCGTTATTATCGCTCCTTCTGGTAGAGGTCTACTCAACAACCAGTCAACACGCTCCTTTACCCCCACGACTTCTTGCGGTATTCCGCTCCAAATGTTGCACTCCAAGAAGGAAAACAGTCGTAACATTGAGATTCCCCAACCCTCCCATTCCGGGTTGGTCAGGGCATCGGTTATCTCCTGCCGTAAAACTGCATGAGCAATGGATCCCACTTGCTTTTGAAGGCGGTTCCAGAAACGGAGGATCTGCTTCACCATGTAATATTGTAAGGGGAGTTCAGCCAGCTCCGCGTACAACAGCCTGTGGGATGGCCGTGCCGTCCCCACTACCTGCCTCATGAATAAAATCTGCAGCTGGACTGCACTATCCTTCAAACAGGCTTCGAACATGCCCTCCGCAAGGTTG